TGTAAATATGTTAAATTAGCAGGCAAAGATATTAAAAAGAGTTATCATAACTGAATTTTATAATTTCAAAAAGTTAGAGATATAGAAGTGGGAGAAAAGGAAAAATGAAACTTCTAGAGATGAAAATTACAAGTTGTGAGATGAAAAGTTTACTGGATGATATTAATGGCAGATTATACATTACAGAATAAATATTAGTGAACCTGAAGGCATAAGAATGGAAACCATCTAAAATAAAAAACTGATAGAAAAGAGACTTTATTTTGAGGCAGAGTCTCACTCCATCAACCAGGCTGGAGTACAGTGGCACAGTCTCAGCTCACTGCAACTTCCGTCTCCTGGGTTCAGGCAATTGTCATGTCTCAGTCTTGCAAGTAGCTGGAATTACAGATGTGCTCCACCATGCCTGACTAAATTTTGTATTTTTAGTAGAAACGGGGTTTCACCATGTTGGACAGGCTGGTTATGAACTCCTGACTTTAAGTGATCTGACAACCTTGGCCTCCCAAAGTGATGGGATTACAGGAATGAGCCACTGTGCCTGGCCAAGATTTTTTTTTTTTAATCACCAAATAAAGATAACATCTGTGAGCTGTGGGTGACATATTCATGTAATTGGAGTTCTTGAAGGAGAGGAGAAGGGAGAAGAAAAAATATTTGAGAAATAATGACTGAAAATTACTGAAATTTGATAGAAACTGTAAACCTACAGATCCAAGTAGCCTAATAAATCCTACTACAAGAAATAAGTTAAAGACTACTCAAGGTACATCATAATCAAATTGTGAAAAGACAATGGAATAACATTTGTAAACCACTGAAACAAAATGATCCATCAACCTAGAATTCTATACCTAGCAAAAGTATGTTTCAAAACAAAATGAAAACACTTTTTGCAGACCTACGTTTTTAAGTCAAAGTAATTAAAATATAATAATGAGTTTAGATATATCTGTACATACACGCATGCAGTATGGATGACAACAGCCCAAAGGTCAAGAGGGGAGAAATGGAAATATATTATTGGAAGATTTTTATTCTGTATGTTAAGTTGTATAATGTCATTTGAATATAGACCACAATGTAAAGATGTGTATTATAAACCCTAAAACACTAAAATAAGTCAACAAAGGGAAGAAATGGAATCACTGAAAAACAGTTGTTGGGTACAGTGGCTCACACCTGTAATGCCAGTACTTGAGGCTGAGGTGGGTGGATCACCTGAGGTCAGTAGTTTGAGACCAGCCTGGGTCATATGGTGAAACCCCATCTCTATTAAAAGTAGAAAAATTAGTTGGGTGTGGTGGCATGTGCCTGTAATCCCAGCTACTGGGGAGGTTAGGGCAGTACAGTTACTTTAATCTGCGAGGCGGGGTGCAGTGAGCCAAGATCATACCTCTGTACTTCAGCCTGGGTGACAGAGTGAGACTGAGTCTCAAAAAAAAAAAAAATGAAAAAACAAATACCTTAGTTAATCTAAAAGGGGCAGAAAGGAGGGGAAAAAACAGTAAGAAAGAAGTAGAGAAATAAATATCAAGATGATAGATTTAAATATAAGCAGACCAATAATTACATTAAATGTAAAAAGTCCATCTCAATTAAGAGACAACTTTTCAGATAGGATAAAAAATCAAGAAACTATTATATGCTGCCTACAAGCAATGCACTTCAAATATAAAGACCCCAATCAGTTAAAATTATAAGAGAGCTAACATGCCAAAGAAAGCTGGAGTTACCATCAAACAAATAATGGGAGAATGCTATATGCAGCTTTTTGGGTGTGATGAATATGTTTATTATTTTGCTTATAATGATTATTTTACAGGTATATAGCTATGTAAAAACTTATACAATTGTACACTTTAAATATGTGCAATTTATATTAATTATACCTCAATAAAGCTATTAAATCATTTAAATAGCCACAAGTGTCCAGTAACTACAGTACTGGACTGCAGTATCCTGTAAGGTCCTTGAGGGTCAGAATTGTATTCAAATAACCTCTCTATCTAGCAGGTACAGAGTAACCACTTGGTCAATATTTGCTTAATGAAGGAATACAAGATACAGCCAGCTCATTGTGTATGGGCATATCACTTACCTTCTCAGGATCTGAGTTTCCTGATATGAAAATATATGATGGTCTATTTCAAAGTTTCTTTTAGCTTTAAAATTCTGTAAAATCAAACACAGAGGAAATATTCTTCATTCGTTAACTGTGGATTTAGATTTTTTTTGGGAAAAATACTTTGTGAAAGTCACAGTGATAAACTAGCACAGTTTAAAAAATTTGAAAAAAACTTAGCTTAAAAATAAAATGTTATTTTTAGCCTCTTTAACTAAAATAATAAAAACATATTTTGCATTAAGTTCCCATCTTTCTTGATAAAATCCAAAATCCTTCCAGTGGCTCTATTCATATGGTCCCCTGGCTTTTCTCTTACAGTGTCTCTGCTAACAAATCTCTTCTTCTTTGACCACTTTGTATAATAATCTCATCTCCTTTATTTCTCTTTCCTTATTCTGCTTTATTTATCTCCAAAACTCCTACTGCTAACATATATCTTTTAAAAAATCTCTCACCTGGCTAGAAGGTAAGTTCCATGAGGGCAAGAACTTTGTCCATTTTGTGTATTGTAAGTTTTAGAACAGTGCCTGGCACATAGTAGGAATTCAATAAATATTTATTTAATGACTCAGTCAGTTGCACTGTAATATCCTTTTGATTTATTCTTTAATTTTTGGTGATATTAAAGATTTCAAAAGGCAGCCCTTTTGAGTAAAGAAAATAATTTCTTTCCAGATTTATGTCTATGGGTTAGGTTTTTACATATAGATCACTTATCTCAGTAACAAAACAAGATAAAAACAATCTGCTGAATGCCTCCACTTTTATAAGCATCATCTCACTAATTCTTCCAAATAAGTCAAAGTATGATAATATTATTCTCAGTTTATAGATAAGGGAATCTGTGGTTTAGGGAAATTATATGAAGTGTCTAGAGTTTCACAGAACTGGTATTCAAGCCTAGATCTGTCTTACTCTAAAGCTTGAATTCTTAAACATTGTACTTTTTCTCAGTTTCAAGTGTATTAATTGTAAAGATAATTATCATTTTAATGTGAACACATTTAGGTTAGCATATTAGGATAGAACATAGCAATATTTCGAGGGAAGGGAAACTTTGAATATTTAGAGAGGATGAAGAGTGTGGGAAAGATTTGTGGGATACTTCTAGAGAAGTTTCTAGTGTGATCTGTAAGGGGGACACTGATGGGTGCAGGAAAAGCCTGAAGTTTTGAATCTCTGAGAAGGATGGCATTGTCCAATGGTGACTGAATGATAGAGAAGTTTAAAAAAATTGAATATTATGACTGGGTTTTGTTAGGCAAATTATAACCAGTAAATAAACTCACTTAGACTTTAATTTATAATTAATTAGAAACAATTAAATTATTTTACATGCTTTAAGTTATTCTTCTAAAAACAGTGAAATGGTGAAATTAACCTTATGCCTCATGAATAGGATATTTTAAGTCAATGGAGAAGAGAGGTGGATGGTGAGAGGAAGGAAGGAGGGAATGAGGCAAAGAGGAAGGGGAGAAGAGTCTGTGTGTTTAGCACAGAAAGAAATTTTATAGCTATAATACATAATGTTACATAAATCTATATAATATTTTCTTCATATTAATTGATTCCAATCCTCTTTTGGTTGATATGTTAATATATTTCTAAGTCATTCAGGCTATATTTATAATGCTTATCTTAGGCTAAGACAGCAAACTTATCAAGCTTGATTTGTAATGGCAAAACTACCATGCTTTCCTCAGGTTGACTAGAAATTATTTGTGCTAGAAATAGCAAGCCATTTTTTTGTGCTGCTTTCATTTCTGTTTTTGTGGTCAGCCTTTCACAATCGAAGGAAAGTTCAATTATTATTTGTCTGTGATGTGAGGCCACTGACGATTCTTATGCTTAATTTGTACTGTTGTTTTTTTATCATAAGAATGCATTTTACAACTTTAAGTTTTGTGGTTTAAAATAACCTTTCCAATCTGTTTTTTTTTTTTTTTTTTTTTTTGGCATAACTAAGACATTAGTCACGACTGGAGTTCTGGGTTCCTTCCACATACCATCTTAGTATGTTGTGCTTGCTATGTTGTTTTTGATATCTTCATTTCAGATTTATTACATGTCCTTATGCCTGCTTCTAGGGGAATTACTTTAATAGCTAGTCTGTATTCCACAAAGGAGTATTGTATTTTTATGAGGTTTTCTTGTTGGTTAGAACTGGTGGACAACTGGACTGTATTTTACATTAGAAAATCTGGTCATCTTCATATCATAGTTAATAAGCTTTCTGATTTATTCACCGACTTGATTATACAAAAGCTGTTGTCCTTGTTTTTGTGTTAAACTTGCTTCTTTAAGCATTGTAACAGAAAGTTAATGTAATAGAAAGTTAAAAATTAGCTGTTCCCTTTTTTTTTGATAGAAGCTGTTACCCTTCTATCCAGTCTATATAACTTGAGTGTTGGTATATATATGTATAATATATATAATTATGTACATGATGATAGTTACATATAAGTATTACAACTTATTATTGTCCTAATATGGGTTATATAAGGGGTGTCCAATTTTTTGCCTTTTCTGGGCCACATTGGAAGATGAAAAATTCTCTTGAGCCATACTTAAAATACACTGACACTAATGATAGTTGATGAGCTAAAAAAATTTGCAAAAAAATCATAATGTTTAAAGAAAGTTTACAAATTTGTGTTGGGCCACATTCAAAGCCGTCTTGGGGCTCATGTGGCCTGTGGGCCTCAGGTTGAACAAGCTTGGAGTATATGAAAGGTAGAGAATATGAAATGTGTGTGACTAGTATATCCTTTTATTGTTTCAAGTACAAGATTTAATAGTATTTTGCTTTTATGAATCTCAAATGGTGATGTCAGTATTTCTTTGCAAGTAATGTATTTTCTCCTCATTACAGGTCCTTTTGTTTTGCATCACAGCTGCCATGTACATGTTCTTTTTCAGGTATGTTCTGTTATACCTATTTACTTTAATGTCCCAAACAGTATCCCTTTGTAATTTCATCAACCGTGAAACTAAAGTATTCCCCAAATAATTATCCCCTACAAGGAGCATACTTTTTTCCCCTCTAAAGTGGTCAGAGATAAATCATTGCTCCTTGAGTACAGAAAAGAGAAAGAGAGGAAAGATTTACTTCCCTCTCCCCACTATTCTACTTATAAGTTCATCTAGAAAGTTGAATATGTCAATTAATAAAACTCAAATCCTGATAAGTGAATTTTTATCTTTTGTGGATCTGATTTTAGGTATTTTTCACTCCCCTTGTAAAACAGTTAACATTTTACATTTAGGTAAGAAAAAGTGACAGTAGGGCTCTATCTCAGCCTTATGCAAAGATAATCTAGCACACTAACAATAGTCTGTAAAATATTGTTTCTTATAATGTCTAAGTTGTACTTTTCATTGACACTGGTCTCAGGTTTGTGGGGGGGCTACAGGGATGAGTGTTAGGATGGCCCAAGATTTAAATGACAGTAGGTGGGATGTCTGTCATCTTCATATAATCCCAGCAGTGTGCCATATGATATTTGATTAGGGAGAGTCCCCTCCTTTATAATCTTTATTTCTTTATTTTTAGTGATACCAATTAATTTTCATTTGTTTTACTCTTATTGCCCTCATTTGAATAGATCTTTCTTGATATTTATGAATCTAGCAAAATTCAACCATGGCAGACGGGAACAGGCTTTTAAAATTAAAAATTGCCCTTAATAAACAAAGAGAGCTGTGGATTTTTAATAGGATATATTTGGTAGATATATTTCTTTTTTAAGAATAAAACAATCCAACCATACTAGAATTTTTTAAAATTTATTTTTAATTTTTGTGGGGACATAGTAGTTGTACATGAGATGTTTGATACAGGGATATGACTCATAATAATCAAATCATAGAGAGTAGGCTATTTGTCTCCTCAAGCTTTTATCCTATGTGTTACAAACAATCCAATTTACACTCTTAGTTATTTAAAAATGTATAATTTATTATTGACTATAGTCACCCAACTATAATAATAGATATCAGTTGGGTATTCAGAGATCAGGTGATAAATCTGGGCCAGGGATAGAAATTTAGAGGTTATTAGCATGTAGATAATAGTTTAAACCGTGCCGGTTGATAGTGATCTGTAGTGAGAATATGGAGAGTATGAAAAAAGGGTTCCATGTATGGACTGGTGAATCTTGATGTTCAAAGCATAGGCAGTAGGAAAGGAGTCAGTAAAGTAGAGGCGGTAGCAGTGGCAAGAGGCATTATAAATATCTTATTAAATTTAGGGGCTACTATTAGCTGTCACACTGGCTCTCTGACACTTGACAAATTACATAACTTTGCTACACCTCATTTTCTTCATTATGAAAAGTGTAAATTAACATATGGACCTAATAGGGCTGTGAGGATTCAATATGACACAGTATCTTTCAAATGTTTTTGATGTGACCCAAAATGAGAACTGTATTTTATATACTATGACTATATGACCATATATACATGTATATATATGTATATAAATTTTCCAGAAAAATACTTATCCTTTCTACATGTAATATAGTTGGATATTTTCTATTCTAATTTATTTATTTAAAAAGCTGTGGCTGGTCGGGGTGGCTCATACCTGTAATCCCAACACTTGGGGAGGCAGAGGTGGGTAGATCACAAGGTCAGGAGTTCAAGAGCAACCTGGACAACATGGTGAAACCCCGTCTCTAGTAAAAATACAAAAATTAGCAAGGTGTGGTGGCACATGCCTGTAATCCTAGCTACTCGGGAGGCTGAGGCAAGAGAATCACTTGAACATGGGAAGTGGACGTTGCAGTGAGTTAAGATCACACCATTGCACTTGAGCCTGGGTGACGAGTGAGACTCTGTCTCAAAAAATAAATAAATAAAAAGCTGCTTTGACTCACTGGTGGATAACAGCCAGTAATGAGAACACTGAACTAAAATGTGTCAACACCTATAACAGTGACTGATTCCTTAGCAAAAGCAGAGTTAAGAGTAGTGAGTGTTGTTTTTAAACCTAGAGTAAGTTGACTAAAATATAGAATTTCAGCAATGATGGTATTATCTTTATTGTTATTGTTCTAGATGTATCCAATAATGTAAGGGTTAAAGGGTATTCATCTGCAATCTGATGGTCTGTGGTAAACTGCTAGAGAAATTTCTGTACTTGGGTTTGGGTAGTCGATTAAGAAGCAAATGTGAAATGAGGAGGAGAGTGAGTTTAGTAAACTCAAAAAGCTTGAGAGAAAAACATAAGGCCAGTTGTTAGAGGATTAAGGGTTTTTCTTTTCTTTCTTGTCCCCTTCCTGCCCTCCTTTTCTCTCTTTCTTAGACTGGAGAGACTAGACTATAGAAAGTTAAAGTGAATAAGAGAAGACTGAAGAAGCAAGGATTGATAAACTGGGGAATGGGAAAGAGAACAGAGTTTAAACTTGGGTCTAAAATGTCAACCTGTATGGGTAGATTATTAAAATTGTCTGGGATAAATGATTAGGAGGCAAGTAAAACTTTGGAAGCCCTGCACACGTGTTTAAAGTGAAAGAAGACTGAAAAAAGTAGGAAATAGATTCGAAGTTCTAGCCAGAACAATCAGGCAAGAAAAAGAAATAAAGGGTATTCAAATAGGAGAGGAGGAAGTTAAATTGTCTCTACTTGCAGATGACATGATTGTATATCTAGAAGATCCCATCGTCTCAGCCCAAAGTCTCCTGAAACTGATAAGCAACTTCAGCAAAGTCTCAGGATACAAAATCAATGTGCAAAAATCACAAGCATTCCTATACATCAATAACAGACTTATCAAGAGCCACATTAAGAATGAACTGCCATTCACAATTGCTACAAAGAGAATAAAATACCTAGGAATACAACTAACAAAGGATGTAAAGGACCTCTTCAAGGAGAACTACAAACCACTGCTTAAGGAAATAAGAGAGGACACAAACAGATAGAGAAACATTCCATGTTCATGGTTAGGAAGAATTATCATGAAAATTGCCATACTGCCCAAAGTTATTTACAGATTCAATGTTATCCCCATCAAGGTACCAATGACCTTCTTCACAGAACTGGAAAAAACTACCTTAAACTTCATATGGAACCAAAAGAGAGCCCACATAGCCAACTCGGTTCTAAGCAAAAAAAAGAAAAACACACACAGTGGGAGGAGGCATCACACTACCAGACTTCAAACTATACTACAAGGCTACAGCAATCAAAACAGCATGGTACTGGTACCAAAACAGAGATATAGACCAATGGAACAGAACAGAGGCCTCGGAGGCAACAGCACACATCTACAACCATCTGATCTTTGACAGATATGACAAAAACAAGCAATGGGGAAAGGATTCCCTGTTTAAAAATGGGGTTGGGAAAACTGAGTAGCCATGTGCAGAAAGCAGAAACTGGACCCCTTCCTGACACCTTACAGTAAAATTAACTCCAAATGGATTAAAGATTTAAACATAAGACCTAACACCATAAAAACCCCAGAAGAAAACCAGGCAAAACCATTCAGGACATAGGCGTAGGCAAGGACTTCATGACTAAAACACCAAAAACATTGGCAACAAAAGCCGAAATAGACAAATGGGACCTATTCAAACTCCACAGCTTCTGCATGGCAAAAGAAACAGTCATTGGAGTGAATCGGCAACCAACAGAATGGGAAAAAATTTTCGCAATCTACCCATCTAACAAAGGGCTGATATCCAGAATTTACAAAGAACTCAAACAGATTTACAGGAAAAAACAAACAAGCTCATTCAAAAGTGAGCAAAGGACATGAACAGACACTTTACAAAAGAAGACATACATGAAACCAACAAAAATATGAAAAAATGCTCATCATCACTGGTCATCAGAAAGATGCAAATCAAAACTACATTGAGATACCACCTCACATCAGATAGAATGGTGATCATTAAAAAATCTGGAGACAACAGATGCTGGAGAAGATGTGGAGAAATAGGAACACTTTTACACTGCTGGTGGGAGTGTAAATTAGTTCAACCATTGTGGAAGACAGTGGGGCTATTCCTCAAGGACCTAGACATAGAAATTCCATTTAACCCGGCAATCCATTACTGGGTATATATCCAAAGGATTATAAATCGTTCTACTATAAAGATACATACACGCAAATGTTCATTGTAGCACTGTTTACAATAGCAAAGACCTGGAACCAACCCAAATGCCCATCAATGATAGACTGGGCAGGGAAAATATGGCACATATACACCATGGAATACTATGCAGCCATCAAAAACGATGAGTTTGTGTCCTTTGTAGGGACGTGGATGAACCTGGAAAGCATCATTCTCAGCAAACTGACACAAGAACAGAAAATCAAACACCACATGTTCTCACTCATAGGTGGGTGTTGAACAATGAGAACACCTGGACATAGGGAGAGGAGCATCACACACTGGAGTCTGTAGGGGGGAAATAGGGGAGGGAGAACAGGGGTGGGGGGTTGGGGAGAGATGCCAGATATAGGTGATGGGGAGTAAGGCAGCACATCACACTGCCATGTGTGTACCTATGCAGCAGTCTTGCTTGTTCTTCACATGTACACCAAAACCTAAAATGCAATAAAAAAAAATTGAAAAAAAAGTAGGAAATAGAAAAATCTAATGCTTGTGGCTTTCTAAATACATGGTCTTTCTTGAAAGGTAATTTAACTTCTTAGAAAAACAGACATGGACATACATGAAGCCATTATTCCTCAGAGCATATATACAGATCAAATGAGGCTTTTCTATTATTGGCAACCAAACCTGTTAATTTACAAAAAATGCATTTTTCAATGAAAAGAGTATTGAGATTGTTAGTACTGTTCCTTTCCTCAAAACAAATGGAAAAGACGAGAACACATAGGTTCATAGATGTTGTAACTCATTTCCTGTGAGAATACAAAGCTTATTACCAAGTCACATGAC